AGTCACAAAGTAATGACCAATATTTACCCATGGGATTGTTGGCCAGGACACTGGGAGGGAGAAACTCTCTTCTCTTTTTGAATAGGACAATGTAATCTTTAACATCTAATCCGAAACGGGTCGGAAAGCACATAGTGTGGGTAATATTAATAACATAATAATAAAAATAATAGGTAATAATAATAACATAGTAAGCTAAGACCCTCCTCTTCGACCATACCATCGGCCACCCCCCTTCCCTTCCCCTGCCTTCTCCCCTCCTGACCCCAGCTCGGGTCTGAAATGCTGTACACTGTCCAGGGCCTTGGGACGTCCTCCCAACATGAAAGGTGCTATACAAATGTAATCTCGTTGTTGTAAGTTGTTCTCATGCCGTTCCTAAGTATTGTAGATTTGTGAATGGAAAGTACCGATTGTTGGTTGTTGGGATTGTTGGCTGTCAATCGGCAAATATGTGGAACACTAACTCTTTCACTGAACAAAATAGCAAACAATTCCTTCTACCACTAACAATGGAGTTCTCACAAACTTTTACAATAGTGAAGTCAAGAGTCATGATAAGTCTACATGACAGGCAGGTGCAGAAAAATTCTATAATTCACCTCTCAAAGCTTTGCAAAACAAAAAACCGTCAACAATTTCAAACCAATAGAATTCACGTAAAAGGCAATTACAGTCTCAGTATTGGTTCAGGGTTCTGGGGAATTCATATCAGCCTTCTGGAGCTTGGAGCTATATAATCAGTTTGCTGTTAACAAATTTCACCATTGAGTAAGAGGCATATTGAGAAATAAATAAAATTGATCCATATCTAGACAGCACAGCTCCAATCAGCTCTCTGTTCCCTTGGGCTCAGAAAGACAGGCCACAAGGTGTAGTTGGAGTTGTTATAGCAGGAGGAAATCAATACCATCCCTCGTAGCTTTTCTTGATAAATCAGCAACTTAGTTCACGAGGGAGAAACCATACATCCTACCTTGTGCTGATAAGAGCACCAAACCTTTGGAAACTGAGAAAAACCAGGATTGTGCCTCAAATGCATTGCTGGCCGTGCACTGTTGGAATGTTGAAGGTGCCACCTTTTGGATAAGATTTAACCTTTTGGATTAAATTGAGGTTCCATCTGCCTGGTCAGGTGGACGTTATCATGACACTATTCAAAAGAAAATGGGAGTTTCTTCCAGTGTCTTGACCAACAACCCTCAAGGTAAAATTGGTCATTCACTTTGTGGTTGGTTGTGATGCACTGGTGCGTGCAAATTGGCTGCCGCATTTGCCAGTCACTACACTTTACTGTAACCCCTGTGAAGCACTTTGAGACATCTTGATGACACAGGCCACTATATAAAATGCAAGAATTATTATTACAACTGGTTCATAAACTTGACAGTAGGGCAGCATCCATTCAAAAATTGCCAAGTGGATAATAATAATAATTCTTGCATTTGATATAGAGCTTTTCACGTCTTCTCGACGTCTCAAAGTGCTTCACAGGATATACTGTAAAGTGAATTGACTGCATATTTGTGGGTGAAATGCGGCAGCCAATTGCGGACAGCAGCGTCCCACAAACAGTCATGGATTGAAATGACCAATTTTTTTATTATTGTGTTTTTTTCTTGAGGGATTATTATCAGGCGTGTGGAGTAAAGAAACTTGCCCATGGTTTCACCCCTGCCGGGAATCGAACACAGGTCTCTCGCTTGTAAAGCAAGTGCTCTAACCACTGAGATACAGGACTCAGATAGATAGATAGATAGCCATGTCACTCCTGCACTGGATGGATGTAATTTCTTTGGCAATACACATATTTCTGTTAAGTTGTTTCCACTGTCTGCGAGAGAGTAACAGGAGCATCAATCAATCTGAGATAGTTACGAAAAGGAGCAAAAGTAGACGAAGAGGGATTGTTTAACAAAAGCGTCGTTAGGTTTTGGAATGTAAGGACAGGATGCATGTTAGCTTTTAAGAAACTAGATAGATAGCTAAAGATGAATAATTTCAAGAGTTTGAAAGAGCAATACATTCTGCCTTTTCTCCAAAGAGCCCGTACAGACAATAGGCTTTTTTCTTTTCTGAAACGTTTGTTAGCTTTGGTTCTGTTCATGCTTAGAGTTAAACTATGATTGTAGACAAGGACATTTAATTAAACCTGTACTCTGACGTACAATTCCAAGAACGCATCTTCTAATAACTACTCATTTGAGTATGGGAAGCTGAGTAAACAATTTTATTTAGCAGCCGCCAGTCAGTGCTTTGAGATGTTCTCCCGACATGATAGGCGCTATAAATCTATATTTGCTGTGAGCCTTGGTGGTACTTAAATCTCTTAGCTTTCAAGGTTAAAAGACACTGTACTTATTGGTTTGATTTTTTCCCACCCAGTAAAATCCAAATTTCCTCTACTTGCAGGTTACAAAAACTATTGTAGTAGTTGTGGAATTCTTACCTTAGTCGTAGGATCACTCTTTGCTACATTAAGAAAAATTGCACATAGGCTCAGCTTTCTAACTACCATATGTAAAGAAGGGATAAAAGATAGTGCTGGAAACAGCAAGTAAATTAGCAGAGAAAGATAGCAGAATTGGGATGGTTGTGCTGAAAAAAAACTCAAAATAGGATTGCAGTGCCCAAGCAGTAACAGAGCCCGATTAAGGAAAAAGGTAATATTCAAACCAATAAGTACAATAAAACAAAGGCAACTAATGGATCATTAGTAGTGTGAAATGCTAGAATAAGGTCTTCAAGGATCTAAACTTCGACTTTAATATCCTTAAACCTCAGCTATCTTCCTCACTTTTCTAGCCATTAGGAGTCCTGTAGCTCAGTGGTTAGAGCACTCGTCTCACAAGCGAGAGACCTGGGTTTGATCCCCGGCCGCTCAGGGCGAAACCTTGGGCAAGTTTCCTTACTCCACACGCCTGATAATGATTCTTCAAAAAAAACAATAATAAAAAATTGGTCATTGCAATCCATGACTTTTGTTTGTGGGACACTGCTGTGTGCAATTGGCTGCCACGTTTCGCCCACAAATAGTCAATTCACTTTACAGTCTATTCTGTGAAGCGCTTTGAGACGTCTAGAAGACAAGAAAAAGCGCTATATCAAACGCAAGGATTATTATTATTATTATATCCCCAGATAATTTTTGACACCACTACACTGGAATTAACACCCGTCTCTGCTGCCTCAGTCACACAATGTCTCGCTTCCGTGCCTTTGTCTTCCTCGTGCATAACCCTTTAACATTTTGTCACATGGGAATGTAAAGCTCTATTCTCAAAGAAAAATGTTTCATCAGACTAAACCTATTGTTACACCGGGGAGGCAGCAATGTTAAGTGCCAAATAATGTATACCACACAGAGGAGCAAGAGGATTTATACACCAAGCAGTGTCTTCCATTGGGCTGAAAAATACATTGCATTGAAGAGTTTGTTCCATGCATAAAAGCAATGTATTTCATGGCTATGAGCACTGCATTACACAAGGCACTGTGACACTGTGTTTCAGATATACCGAGCTGTATAATGTGTGGATTCATAAGTTCCATTCTGTTAGTTTGAAATACATTAAAAGCTGATTTTGTTGAATTGTGAGGAACAAAAAAGTCAATGTGAAATTATGATTGTGCAGCAGAACTGCTGGATAGAGAATGTCCTTGGGAGGACAATCTAAACCCGCAACATCCTGTGTACCAGTACTTACTCAAAAACTACATACTGAATGAACAAAATTGTTTTCCATCTCAGCTTTTTCCCATTAAAGGAAAAGACAAAGTGGAAACAAATGCATTCAAGCTGCTTTCATACTGCAGTGTAATTGTGGCTCTCTTTCCACACTGTTGTAAGCACGGAGCCACTGCCTACTCACATCACAACTGCCTGCTCACCACTGAAAGCCGGGTAAGGCAGCGAGCGGTCTCTCCAGGTTCAGCTTCAAAGACACTGACAAACCATTTGCTCACTAGTCCGTCTCTACTGATGGGACTTGTATATGTTTAATAAGATCTGGGTGAAATAACAAGCATGTATGAACTGTCCACACGAGCAACTTTACGAAAACAGTCTACATCAATAAAAAAAAAGATTACCACCATCTATTATTTTCTTTCCGATTGTTAGAGTGTAAATGGTGGTACAGTGGTTTGAGTCTGTGCTCATGCCATAACAAAACTTTCTGGTGGTAACGAGCGTGGTAATGTGAATGTGCCTGGTAATGTTAAGAACCTGAATTAAATTAGTGGAGATACTGTATTTTAATGATTTGGCTATTGCAGTGTGTAGGAGAAATTGGTACCTTTAGACTATTTGCTCATTAACTCCTCTCAGAGAGTAAGCCTAATGATTTCATCAGAACTCACTATTTAAGCAATGCAGTATTAAGAAAAAAAACTCAACTAGTAATACAAGATTACTACTACAGTATTTAGCTCTAGAAAGGGTACACATTGTTGAATCATTTAATTAATTAATTTATTATTTAAGATGTCTCCTTGGGGCTGAACTGGCTCCACCAAATCTTTTCTTCCAGTTTATCAGATTAAATAATTCATTTACACCCTGTTCTAAATAATATAACCCAGTCTATCCAATGCAGCGCAGGTATTAATCTAATCAACCATTGCTGGACACCCTCTGAGACTAGTATATCCGTTTTACAATTCGGGGCCCAAAACTGAACCATCACTCTAGAGGAGCGGGTGAAGAATTGCTCTCAAAGACTGTAAACAGTTGCTTAGAGTGACAGGTACTTTACTGTCCCTGGCATACATCTCATGTCGCCATAACTGGGAAATAACTGGAAAATATGCAGAACAGCACAGCCAAGTCAAAAGTTCTTCACCTTCCATTACAGTATTTTATCACTCAATTAGCACAAACTGTTACCCCTTTTTGAAGACGGCACAAACTTCCACAATATAAGGAATACCAAGTTTGACGTCTGAAAATGCCATGCTAATTATTATAATTAATTTGTCTGTTTAAAAAACAAACTCACCATGGAGAGGGGTACAATAGCACGGATGTCTTTTTGGATTACAGTCAGTTCCGTCACCACCTTGTCCGAGTCTGGTGGGGGATTTTTCCCTCGGTAGTCAATGTGCCACATGATGCGTCTGGTCACAGACTGGCTTGTGAAATTTTCCATTTCAAAGTCCAGTTGTATGATTTCATTGGACTGAATGTTTTCACTGCCGAGAGATTAGGGGGGGAACACATCAGATACACTTCATGAATTTGTGTTTAATCAGCTGAAAGAACCCAACATTTCTTCAGTTTGTTTACATGCTTAAGTTGCTTTGGAATCCAATAATGACAGAACAGAAGCTTTGTTTACCGCAATACCGGTGCTATTAATAACGAAAATCCACAATACAACTAGAAAGCACATTATGTCAAGTCCCACATGTAGCTTTTACATCCTTTTTGCATTTTAGCATAAGCGTAATTTACCCTGCCAAACTGGCGGCAGAACAAATCTGACATTTACAGTGATCCAACAAAACCTTGGCAGCATAAACTATATCGCGTTGCATATTCAGATCTCCTAGAAACATGACAATGTTGGAGGTACTGTAGCGTAAGTAGATGGCCAATCTCCAAGATGATATCTCAGATTCTGGCAACCCTTGTATGAAATAGACCAGTTGGATGGTGAGACAACTCTGCATTAGGGAAAGCAGTTGTGGGGGATACAGTTTGAAAGAACCAGTGCGTTGGTCATAATTAATGAACTTTCTTTTTTTTAAAGTTTTCATGCTTAAGGGATTCTGTAAACCATTTAAAAAGACATCGGAATAAAGAGTTTGAAAATTCTGAAAATAGCCATCAAGTGAGACCTTAGGATGATCTATAAAATAGGCTTGGTTTAAAACAAGACAGTTGAAGTATTTCAATCATACAAAAAGTATCAATACCAACAACCATGCAAATCAAGTTCCATCCCATCAAAATTTGATAATAATCCTTCCATTTGATGTAGCACCGTATCATGTATTCCCAACATGAATGGCACTGTATAAATGTAAATTGTGTTTTAAAGAGAAATCCAGGAGATCTGTGAGAGGATCCAGAAAAACTTGCCATTTATTCGTCCTTGCTCCCACCAGAAAACAATCTTTGAAAGACAATGGAATATATTTAGTTAATATAAAAAATATTCTTAACGTATAAATTATATGCATGGTTTGGTTTAACTCCATTAGAGAATATTATTTGCGATTAATTAACACCAATAATCATGACCTAAGCTAAATTAAAGGCAAGCTTCTTCATGCGTGAATTCCTTTCTCCTCCATCTCTTTTCATTCCAAAGGTGATGGATGAACCGCGTAGATAAAAAAAAATACATGCAGCCAATCACACAGAATGCCAACAACAACACAAACAAATAAAGAGCACCCAGAAATTTGGCTTCAGTCACTGCACTAGAGATTATCTAAAGCAATGGGTGTACAGTTCTTTGATATTAATTGATGGGGTTCTTTGTACAAAAAATCAATATGTCTGTACAAAGAATTATTTCTACTCAGTGCTTGGAAACATGCCAGACCTTATAATTAAACCTAAAATCATGCACACGTAGGCTCTCTCTCCTGTTGTAGAAACCCTTGCCAACTGTGTGCAATTAAAGCCGAGAGGCATTTACTGAAATCTCAGAAAATATTTTCCTTTCAATTCTTTGTTACATTGTAGTGTATATCTTAATACTTTGGCGAAGCATAGAGAGATTGGACAGAGGAAGGGGAGGGGTATGTTGGTTGGGAAAGCTCGCAAAAAATGTGCCTTCGGAAAAATTAATGGGGTTTCTCGGGCAAAGTCATTTCCCAGTCCCATAAAAAGAGGATGATGGGAGCAAACAGGCCAAGAATGTGACTGACAAAGGGTATGAAACAAATGGGGTGTGTGCAAAGGGCAAACAGCCAAGGTTGGCAAAGGAAGTGGGCCTCAGCAAGCATTACTCTGGGCAGAAGGAAACAATACAAAAAAGAACAGAGAATGTGGGATTGGTAGGAGGAAAAAGTCAAACACAGTGAGAGCCACTTTATTCATATGAAAATAATTTATTGAGGAGTGATCTCAATGATAATATCCCTATCCTTACTCTCTTCTACAAATGTTTTCCTGACATAAAAGGAACATATATCAAACGATAATTATCAAAGCATTATTATTTTTTATATTTCATAAAATCTGAGCGTTCCAATCTTACTTTACATCCTCACGTGCAATTTTCTTCTGCTTACAAACACTCATTTCCATCCCCCTACCCGGCTCCTAATAAACCGCCAACACGGCTCTCTCTTCACTCTCGGAACCTCCAACGTACCGGTGAACAAACTGTGTGATCAGAGTCAGCTGCCTGGGGTGACGGGCCCAGAGCCCAGGGAACACAGCGCAAATCTGCACTGGATGTACGTTTGCTGAGCTCTTGTGACACATACTTGCCACCGTCAAATTGTAGTTTTCTCACATGCCACTCACAGTGGCATAGATTTTATTAAATATATATTTGCGAAAAATGATGTAACTTATGTCACTTCACTCATCTAAGTACAGCAACAGCACTGCTCCCTTAAATTAAAGCAATCCTTGGGATTCTTATTCCAGTTCCCCTTTGTGGTGTTCTACATTCCCAAATCCCTTGTTTTAAAAACACATAGAAGGACGATTACTGATGCGAAAGTGAAGACAAGAATTACTGATGCAATTTAGCACGGACTTTCTCCCATGATACTTCGCAAATTAGCAAATACTTGGGATCTACTAACCACTGACAGTTGTATTCTGTTGGCTGTTTCATTTTAAAACTTTTTTTTTTGCTAATTTTCACTTCTCTTCTGAACGTTTAACTCTTGCCAGACTACAATTCCACTGGCTTTTCTCCTCGGTCAATGCTAGAGGTGAGAGAAGCCATGGGGTGACTATTTGTTCCATCCTACGTTTTGCATAAACAGCCTGACTCTACTGTGCTTACTCATACAATAACACAGTCGGGATCCGGAAAAGTATGGGGAATAATGTGTGTAAATCCTAACACTTTGTGTTACAGCACCTTATTAAATGTTACATTAATGGCAGACCTCCTAAAACTTAAATTTCATTGAGAAATGTATACTTGCAATATGTTTGACACATTACCTTAGCTCTCAAGTCTCTGAACTATTTCTTCTCACTCAGCAATCAATCCTGATGGATAAGTTTTTTGATGAATACACAGAGCGCTAGTTTCAGACTCTGCATTATCGCACTTGAGGATTAAAGGGGATATTTTATGACATCATGAAAGAACCTTTAATTGGATCTGTTGGGCTCAAAATTGTGGGCTATATGATTCTTGCATTATTTATCAGTGTATATTCTTTTATTTTCAAACTTAAGAGAAAGCCATAATGGTCAAAGCTATTCACCAATTTCAAGGGCTAGTAAGATAGATGATCTGATCTAGGTATGATCTTATTTATGATTACATTTTAGAGATCAGGTTAGTCACCTGCAGTTATAGGAGTTGACATTATAAAAAAAATAAAAATAAAAATATTAAATGAGCACTCTTATGACTTAAAAGAACACTGCAATAAAATATTAAACACAAAGAATGTATGATTACTTATACTGTTTTCTAACTAATCAATCACTTTCAGACTGTTGGGCGCAGTGGAAGGAGCACAAATGCTTTAGTGAGCAATTCAGAATGAGGAAGACAAGGTCATCAGAAATCTTGGCAAGCAGGATCTGAAACCAATTTCATAAAGGTAGTGAGGAATGAATCATAAAAATAAACCAGAAGCAGCATTCCTTAATGAAATATTATGTTGTCAAATGCAAATATTTATCAGCGTTAACCATCAGCTAATGAGGCATTTTTGTGAAGCACTCGGGTTATTTGTATACATATCTGATACACCTTAATTCAAATAATTAATTTTGCTGGGAAATTATATTTGGTAGTTGATGCATGAATGGATTTTAATTTTTCCTTTGTGGAATAAATAAGGATCAAGGATCAGAATAACAGAGCTGGGGAACCTCAGGGGACTCATTAAACATGTTTCTGTCTTTTCTGCTACACAGAGATTCCGGTAAGTTGATGTAACATGGGCCAAGTGAAATGTAAATGTTCCGAGGTAGGGAGATCCCACTCTCACATGGTGAATAAGGACCATAATAACACATTCTGTCAAAAGAGATCCACTGAACAATTTCCTGCTGATTTTGCCTCAGGTTCCGATGCCCTCAGCATGCAGGAAGCTGGCCTGTCAATCATGACCACTGTCACAATCATTTCAAGCTCCAGGGACACGCATAACCATTGCAACCAACAGCCTGGCTTCCCTCACACCGCGAGTGGTCTGGCCAGTCTACACAGGAGTCCTGGAACTCTCATGGATTACTGGTAACCACGGATCATCAGAACACTCACATTATAAGCAAACTCGCACTATGCGTGTCAGCATGGCTCAGTAGTAACTCTATTGCCTCCCAGTCAGAAGACTGTGAATTCAAGCCCCATATCAGGACCTATAATCACATAGTCTAAGGTGACACTCCAATGCAGGGCTGGCTGTGGGGGTGGGGGTTGCTGCACTGTCAGAGTGTCGTCCTGTCTGGATCTCTCAGATTAACAGATCTGAGATCCAGGTGGATGTTCAGGATCCCATGGCAGTGTTCGAAAAGGGAAAGGTGTATTCCCGGTGCCATGGCCAACAGGGTTCCACGGTAAGTAAAGTAAACCTAAACCTAGATGGAATTTCTCAGTGGGAGCAGGGATGGAATGAAAGGAAGATTGGTGTTCCAAGGATTGGCGCTCTATAAACATAAATAATAATAATACTTGCATTTGATATAGCAATTTCCTCTGTATTGGTGCTATATAAAAATAAAGACTATATAAAATAAATGGTATCCATCCTTGATTTGACATAGCACATCCATCACGTTAAAACATCTTAAAGTGCTCCACAGTTTTCTGCAGAGTGTAGTGACTGTATATGTATAGGCAATTACGGTAGCCAATTTGCACACAGCTATTTCCCACAAACAGCCATGAATTGAATGACTTTTTTAATCTGGGGAATTGTTAGTCAGGACGGTAGGAGAAACTGCCTTCTCTTTTCAAATAATGCCATGGGATCTTGAACATCCACCTGAACGGGCAGATAGGACTTCAGTTTAACGTTTCGTTTGAAGAGAGGCTATAAATCATGATGGATGAGGTGGGAACATGAATGGAAATATTTTAAGTAAAAGGTTAGTAGCTGTTTGTAACTGTTGGTTCAACTTGCAAGAAAAATTGTGAAACTGAAGAATTGAAATAAAGATGATTATTGCATCATCAAAAGACATGGCGGAGAGCACGATTTAGTGATTCAGCCACTCCTCTGTGAAAAGAGCAGAGGTAGTGTGCACTGAGGTGAACAATCTGAAGAAAGTTGGTGAACAGAATGCAATCATCAAGAAAGAGCTGATAATGTCGAATGATGAGTAAAGGAAATGATGTGGATAAGGAACAAAGTGCAAGAGAAGGTTTGGTATCCCTTTTCTTTAGTACACAATATAGGTTTTAAATCCATTTAGAGAAGTGCATTTAAGGTGAATAATAGACAGGCTATTCATAACATACACTTCTGGAAGTGTCAAGGCTTCTATAATTTTGCTGGGTCTTAAAGACCAGCTTTATTGTAGCTAAAATAGCTTTTTAAAAAAACCCTTCTCTGCAGGATTAAAGTAATCCTTCATAAAAAATAACAGCTGGACAATCCAGAGGACAAATTAGTTATTTGCTTACTCGCATTCTGTATGGGGGGACGGCGGAAAGAGAAAGAATTTTATTGGTAAAAATCTTTCTCTGAAATTCATGCAATAACACATTTGAGAAGCATTAATACAATATTACAAGCTTACTTTCTATCAGAAGCTTTCAATGTCTAATTCAACTTGAAATACTCTAGAAACGTTGGCTGCGTTTCCTGCCACTCAATAACATTTTTTTTAAGGAATGCCCACACATTCTTTTTCATTTATTTTACTGGAGTATTTTTACGTTGTGGTACTATACTTAACTAAACCTGTTGCGGTATTTATCGTCAAACTATTTTTTTTATATATACAATCATAAGGTCGGTCCCATAAGGCTTTCTAAAAATGTATCTCTCAGATGGCGAAATTGGTGCAGTTAAAATCTGCAATATGTTTAGGAAAAAGTGCAGCTGTTTAGATTGCAATAGTCGTGCAGCAATCTCAGCCAGGATGTGAGAAAGATGCCTCCCCCAAAGGCAAAATATTGATGGCGCTTAACCTAAGCGCTTCCTGTCTACTTTAAAACCCACAGCACCCAAAGGGAATTGAAAATAAGGACAAACCACAGATAGCGAACATATTATATTACTATTTCTTGGAAGTTTTTTTTAAAAAATTTGGAAGACATAACAGTGTGCCATCCAGTGGATGTGCTTTGTCATTAGCAAGGCTGTAGATTTATTCAAAGGGCTTAACAAAAATAAACTCTCCTGGAACAAGTGAATTAGTGCTCTATTGCCCTCCGAAATGGCAATATCATCATCGTGCACAAGCACAGGAATGTCACTTGTCCTGTGATCGGTAACGTCAGTGTGAAAGTGCCCTACTATGGATCCCAGCTGTGCGCAGCACTGAAAAGCATACAAGATTACTTCTTCCATTTCATTGTACCACTCCCTTTCACTCCCTGAAGCGTTCAATTGTTAAATTAGGATTTTTTTTTAAATGACAAATTTGAGAGACAGCTTGTTGATTATTTATGCCTGTGGGAAAAAAGATCGTTTTGCATTAGAAGTTTAAGAGGTGAGGGGAGACCTTTATCTCATTGCGATTGTCTGGATTAAGCACTAAATTAAAGACAGTTTTAGCACACACTGCCAGTCATTTCCATTGTAATGAAGCCTACTATTAGTCAGCTAAATGATGAGCTGTATTTTGGTTCATGCTACAAAACATACAAAACTGATACCGGTGAAGAAATAGCAGAAACCAAACACCAAAGTTACTATTATGTTGATGTTTTGAAAAATACGGAAAAACAATTTCATTTCATTTAAAAATTAGATATGTCTGTTAATTCTTACTTCTGTAAAACACCTTCCTTCCGATTCACCTCCACGGTAGCTGTGGAATGTTTTCCTCCATTCAGGATCTCGGATTTCAACTGCCATAGCGTGGGATTTTTAGACCTCATGTTGTCCAGATTCACTCCCTTTTTGGCCTTCACCCTGCCAGAGATCAAACAAAAAGGAATCAGACGCAATGGGCAATGGCATCCAAGTTACCATGAGTGAAGATTCTAATGTTCTGATTCACTTGATGTGTAAATGAATGAAATCACAGTCCAGTTAAAGGAAAATTACTATCCATTTGCAATAACGAGAACTAATTTTTAATGATTAGCCTATAATGAACGGTGAAATGCACTTTACAGATCAATCTTCTTGTAAAGTGGAGTCTGCATAACCATTAATTATGATAAACATTTGAAAATAATTAATTCAAGTTCAACAGGAAACATAGAAACTAAAAATCTGTTTCACTCTTATCGCTGAAGAAGATAGACCAAACAACAAAATTACTGCTCAGGCCGCATGTTGACTTGGAGCAGATACAAAGGAGATCATTATTGAACACTTTGCTGGGGACGAGTTTGCTTATAATGTAGGTCTCCTGTGGACTGTGTTTAGAGGAAGTCAGTACACTACTGGATTCCAGCCACTAAAACCACAACAAACTCGTATGGATTCAATGGGATGGCGTGCAACATGCAAGACTCAGATCTTAGGTTAGGTTTATACGGTGCCAAACTGTAAAACAGTGCCAAGATTAGTTCCATTGAGGTTTTAACTTTTTGAGTGAATTTTTTTGCTTAAAAATCAGCAACATTTGGTTTCCAATCCAGTGAAACTCCTGCTCGGGCAATAACCCTTTTGGCAAACAGGAGTTTTAGTCTAAAATAACTCATTATCAATTCAGATCATCTCCATGGAGGGCTTTCTATACTTTGTGAAGTCCTGTAATGTAGTGGTTAGCACATTCTCCTCTCAAGCGAGTTCGATTCCTGGGTGGTGCAAAACCTTAGGCAAGTTTCTGTACTCCACATGCCTTAGTTTGCTTAGTAGTACAACATTTTTTGCTTCTATTCAACTACAACAATTATGTTTATACATGTTGTCAACACATTTGGTTTCATACGGTTCAAGATTTTATTTAGTCGTTTATTTGTGAAATCTGAAGACATTAATAGATATGCAACAATCTATTTCTCTCACAATGAATTTAGTGTTATTCCTTAATTAAAGTGGAATCATTTTAACTTACTATCTTTAATAATAATGATTAAAAACAAATGACAAGTGCCTTCTCCCCTTCAAAACAATGAGGGTTTGTCTTTAAAGAACAATTTCCACCTCAAATGAATGACTCAAGACTTTTGTTTGAAAGCCTCAAGGGAATTTATATATCTTACCCAGAAAGTGGGGGACAAACCATTAAATTATGCTTATGCCTTATGGCAGATTAATTGTATTTTTCAATTCCACTTGCTTTATGAGTCAAGGCCAATATAAATCACCCCTCGCCCCTCAACGAGCATTCTGATCATATTGTTAAATAAACCATGACAAAATCAAAGCCTGAATTAGGTTGCTGACATGCCATTATCAGAGAAGAATTTGAAGCCAAACAAGAACAGGCTGTTATAATATGCTCTGGAAAACTGACAAATCATTGCTTGCAGTATTTTCTGCATGGGTTGAAAATAAACAAAGAAAATCATGTTGCATGACAGTTTAATAGTCAGCAAATCTAGAAAAAAAAACATGTACATCTGGGGGAGGTGGAGAGAAAAAGAGTAGCTTGTAAAAACAAGAACTTATCTTCCGACAGTCAGAAAGGTGAAATAGGCAGAGGAGCAGAGTGAGTAGGGTTGTAAATGTGGTACATTACTGCTTATCAGCTCAGCTCAGCAGAGCTCTGCCATTTGAAGTTCAAAGCGTCGGGGTTTTCTGCAAACAAGTTTACTTAAAGCGGATAAAATTGGAAAGAACTTCAGGATAGGTTTGGCAATTTTTTTTTTGCAGAAGAGTTATTAGAATTCTTAAATCGTTGATTTAGTAAAATGGCTTTAATGTTCTATATATTATACAACTATTATATATACATATTGTATATATATACACACACACACACTATCACATTTCTTTCTGTTATAATATTTCTGTTGTCTAACATTTCCTCTCTATTGCTCTGTTCTTGACTGGTTGGTGAATAGCTTCTGAAGGACTTTGCAGCAGGTAGCAAAACATAATCAATAGCACCCATCCCGAGTCTATAAATCCATCAAACAAAGCAGAAGATAATTTTCTTTCCCTCTATTACTGGTAACAATTACCCCTTATTTGCTGTTCAGACCCTGCAGTGAAATCAGTTTTAGACACAGAAACTGCAAAACATTTTGTAACAACGTGCGATTCCCCCTCCTCCTTCCCTCTCACAAAACCACAAAGTCCCTCCATTTAACAATTTAATTTCTATTGGCCAAATGTGAATGCACACAACAAAATGTTTGCCACATTATCGTTGTCTTAATTTACAGTATGTTCTGCGAAGCGCTGTGAGACATTTCAACGACGTGATAAGGTGCTATATCAAATGTAAGGATTATTATTATTATTATTTCTTAGTGAAAGAATACTATTGTTTCTTTCGGCAACACAATGTTCGTGGATTAACGCTCTGGGACGGGACCCTGCTATATAAATGAAAGCTGTTGTATTGTTGGATTACCAATTTCTCTTATTTTAAAGGCACTGGCAGTATACAGAACAGATATTGGAAAAGACGATATTTTATTTATATTATGTATGTTTTGCTCTTGTATATTTTTGGGGCATTCAAGGAGAGCACAAGTGAACCACAAAACAAAGTTAAATTTGAATGCCCAGTTACTTGGCTGGATAACGGAAAATAATATTTTCTAAAGATACTAATTTTGTTGGGTGTTTTCCAGAGGTAATAACCGTAGGAACGTTGCCAAAACCCTGAATGTCACAGCACATCAAAGGGTATTGAATCTTGGCGGAAATGCAAAAAAAAAGAAATAACCCCTCCGTGTAGAACTGAAACATTCATAATAAAAGAGCAACAGGGGAGCGATTGCTCACTTTCACACTCGTGGTTTAGAATGTCACTGGAACCTCTTGATTAAATTATGGCGAAGGAACCGTTCCTAAATATTCATTATGCTCCTATATCATTTAACACTTCAAGACTGTGAAGCAATATTTTAAAAATAATGAACGTCTAGCAAATAGATGTGACCTGTGGTATCTGGTGCTGCCTTTCAAAAACTTTCCAGTTTAGTCTGACTCAATAACTTTGTCACGTACAGGTAGCGGTCCAGAGAAAACCTGAACACTGTTTGAAACATGACTGACTTTATCAGCATTTTACTGCAGTACCAACAGGATTCCAGACTCCTCTTTAAACGCATTACAAAGGTCTGACAGCATTTAACTTATTAAAATTATAAACTATTGATGGCTGCAAAATCTTAATGTTTTCCGAAACAAAGTCCAGGAATTTAAGTTTTACTCTGGACAGTTTTCATTAAAGGAGTCATTTTTTTCATTCCTTGTTAGAAGGAAACGCACTGGTAATGCAAATTAACAGTAATCAGTCGCCTAATAATTAGTTTCCTTGAGATAATAAGGTCCTCTACCAAGGGTAGAGAACACCTTCAAATGAATGTCAAAGGAAGTATTCCACAACAATTACACAGTGAGAGCACATCATCACAAATTGATAGTTTGTGAAATCCACAGAGACAGAAAAAATATCATAAATTGGTTTCCAGCCATGCTGTTCACATAACTATTAAACGTAAACCATTAAGCAGAATACTATATTTGACAAAAGCGGTGCAATGATTTTAGGAATCAAATAATTATGAGTTAGGATTTAGAATTGTTGAGCATTTTTTTTTCTTTATTCCCCATTGTTGTGACGGGCACAAAGCTCTTGAATTGGAAGAGTGAATTGATATGGGCATCTGACAGATACAGAGACATCAGTTTTTTTTTAACTGTACATCGTTATGTTTTACAAGAGATGTGCTAATTTTTTTTACAAACAAACCATGAAAAAGGATGATCTTTGTTGAGGATTTCTCTACCAATTCGACTATAAGTTAAAACAAATGAAGGTGTCATCGGGATTACGTTGCATTAACCTTTGGGCCTACTACAGCAGCTTATTGAGGCATCTTTCAGCTTAGCTCACTTTAATCAGTCTGCGGTTGTACGCCAAATCAGCTTTCCAATGGGATTTCTAATTTTATTAAGAATAATTCTTATATATTAAATCTTTATGCCATTTAAACCTTTTCAATTTTCTTTGCAGTGATATCCTTTCAATCATTCTGTCGGAAAATTGACTGTATGGTATAGAAATGACTCTTTAGTATTAAAGGTCATTAGAGAGGGTACTTGCACGGGCTATCAGAATCCTGCACCTTAGCAGAAATAAATTTAAACTCGACAGATATTTATCTAGGAGGAAACCCAACAAAGTTGTAAGTGTGCTATTTTACCAGGTCTTTTAACAGTTCATATAACTTACCACGAGCATTTCAATAATTTAACTTGCGTGCCAACTACACTAGCTTGTTGAGGGGTCCGAGCTGGATTTCAAATTTCACTTGAATGATAAATTATCGCTCTTTCACTTGAGCAATGAATTCCATATTTTACACCTATATATCCAGGATTCTCTACTTATGGCCAGAAGCAAATCAGCAAATCCGTAGTGAGCAACTTACCGGAGGCTTCTAATTGTTCTCATCAAATAGGTGTTAGCCGCATTATGTTGTGTCTTAGGTCGCTACTATATCAGCTTGTTGAGGCGTCTCTGAGGTCAGGTCACTTTAATCAGTCTATGGCTATATACCAGATTAGTTTTCCGATGGCACTGTCTAATTCTATTAAGAATATTTCTCACATATTAAACTTTTATAGCACTAGCCCTTTCCAATTTTACTGGCAGCACCACTGTCTTCTTCAGGCCAATGGGAAGCCAGCAGCATTATTGAATACTGTAGAGAATTACCCGTCAGTAATAGTCTTTGACAGATAGTTATTAGACCACACTCTGATCCAGAAAACTACAGATGTGAAAAGATTAACCTCTTCATACAGTGATGTGAATCATAGCACATTGGAACAAA